CATGCAGTGCCACAGTATGTAGCCACCGCAGTTCATCTGGTGCGTCGCGTCCGCCAGCAACACCTCACTATAAAGCTCCACAAGGTCACGTACGTACCTGAGAACAAAAAAATATGTAGCGTATCTCCGACTCCTCATACTCTACATTACATTGACCGGCGCTCTCAAGCAAATGTATAACAGCGTCAACGGAGTTCCCCTCAATCTTTCCCCTCATCTTATCTCTTATGGTCCGGAAATCGTAACCGTTCAACCTTCTACCGTAGTGCGTCAACGCATATCTCCTGAGCTCAAGTGTCCTTGAAAGACTGCATCATGCGGTAGATGTCCTCTTCCGCGTGCCGCGGGAGCCGTCTGTTGGTGACATACAAAAATGGCTTTCCCACATGAAAGTTATGGCTGTGCTCAAGGCTGTAGGATACCATGTCGTAGCACCACCCGTTATGCCGTATGGCAATATGTGCCTTGCAGTCATAACTTTTGTACCTAAAGTTAAATAGCGTCTCACAAACATTACATGTGAACTTACCGCTTGCATGTGCATCCTCTTCGGGAAAAATGCACACATTTATAGTGTACGGATTTGTATCTCACACCCTCAGGAAACTCTTTTCCGGTTTTCCTCTTAGAACCAACCGATGTCAGGACACCCGCTTTGAAAAACATGATGCAGTACGCATTTGAAAGCGCTTTAGGTCACTTTCGAACTTCTCAAAAGTGCCATACACACGCTGAAGGAAGACAGCACGGAAAGCAGCGGTATCGTCGACAGCCATGACAGCGACAGAATCCGCCAACGCACTTTACGGTGCATTCAAACTATCATCACACTCACATCAACCTAGGTCCGCGTTGCAACCTATGGCATTTTTCTCCACATTAACAGCTCTTAGATCACATGTCATCTTCCCTTTTCCTTCACCAAGGCTAAGTTGCTTGTTGTCTACTACGGCAACCTCCCAGTCGCCTGCTGATCACCGACCGTTGTGGAGCACGGTCTTGACTGCCCTGTGTGCTTTGCTTGCTCCGTTCCCCTAGCTAGGACGTCCAAGGTGTCGTTCCTTTATAGCTAGGTAACGGAATCTTTTATTGTACCAATAAAAGTTTCTTTGCAACTCGATTTGTCTTCTCGAATCGCTCTCTGGGCTCCTGGTACAGACGACCCTCTAAATTGGTGACCCCGACTCCGGAACAATCTCAGCGCCGCATATTCGGAACTTTTCTCCGGTGATCTCGTTCCATTTATTTTTCATCTTTTTCGTTTTATTTTTACATACGGTAGCCTATTTTTTGCGTCATTTTTTAGCCATGTATTCTGTAGACCCAAAGGTAGAGTCTCTGCTAAGCGTTGTATCTCTCTCTGTGCCACCTTTTTGGGACATGGATCCTCTTTTGTGGTTCGCTGTTCTTGAGACTGAGTTTTATAACCACAGAATCACTTCCGACTACGCGAAGTATAGCAAACTCCTGTCCTATCTCCCTAAGGAGATATTAATGCAGGTTCGTGACGTTATCATTTCCCAGACTGAAAACCGCTATGAGACTCTCAAGGAGGCCACGATTAAGCGTGTTATGCCCTCTGAGAAAGTGCGCTTGCAGTAGCTTTTCAGGGATCCGCAGCTGGGCGGATAAGCAAGAGCCATCGCGTCGTATTCATCGTGGCATGCTGGTTGTAGGTGAGCAACACACTTCAACTAATATGCCGTAGGAAGAATGAAACATTTTGACAAAAAGTAAAACAAAACATTTTTAGTTTGTTTTTCACACGCTGCTTTTGTTTTTTTTTCGTCATTTTAATGTTTGTAGTATTAAACATGTGAATCAATACAATACTGTACACAATGCTTCCACTGATTCCGGTTGCGGGCCGTCTTCAAGAGTGCTAATCCATTGGCACTCCTCATCTTTGGGTCCCCATCCTGGAAGATGTACGGATCCAACAGTGGCTAGACACGACGTCAGCGATTTCATGTGCTGCCGCCAAGTGGAAGGCTGATCACCACGCGGTCGCCTCCAGCCAGGTCCTTGACGAGCAAATAGAGCGCGACGCGGTAGACGCCCAGGTGACATGCGTAGGATCTGACCGAGCCATCTTAACTGGTGCAACAAAACCACAAGATGCGACGTCGAATGTCATTACTACTAACTCGATGTAGCCACGAAACACGAGCGATCCTTCTTAAGCAACCGTTGTCGAAGACAGAAAGATGACGCATGTCTTCCACGCGAATCGGCCGGAGCTCACACCCATACAACAATACTGAGCGAACTGATGCGCTGTAAACGCGGCCCTTTAGTGAGAATGAGACGTCGCGACGACGCCACAAGTGCCTCAGACTGACAAATGCTGATCGAGCTTTAGCGATACGAAGAGAAACTTCTTTACTGATAGTGCCGTCAGCAGAGACACAGCTCCCAAGGTAGACGAAACTACCTACCTGTTCAAGTTGTGCACCTTCGAGAGTGAGCACGGGAGCAGGTGGATAGCCAATTCTTGAGCAGTACTTTACACTTCGATGGGGCGAAGCTCATGCCATACTTAGATGCTTCAATCGCCAAACGATCCAGAATGAGTTGCATACCCTGTGGTTCGTCACCAAGTAAGTCGGTCGCGAGCTCACCTGGTAGAAGCTCTAGGCCGAAATGTTGGAAACCTTCTAGAGCATTCGACAGAACGTCTTCGTTTGCGAAGTTGAAGAGGAATGGGGACATAGGGCAGCCGTGTCGCACACCGCTATTGACAGCGAATTGCAAGGAAAGCTTGCCATAGACTCTCACTCTGCCGCATGTATGAAGGCAAAGTGCTCGTAAGATGGCGGTATATTTCTCTGGTACTCCGTTCTTTAGTAAGCAACGCCATAAAGTAGGTAAAAAGCGGTACGTATGTCTAGGAATGCAACGATAGTGGGCCTGTGATAAATGTGGTGATGTTCGAGAAGCTGGCGGAGCCTGAAGATTTGATCCACGCATCCGCGGTCAGGACGGAAACCAGCTTGTTCTTCACGGTATTATGATTCACGTACTGGGGATAGTCTGCGAAGCAGAATGGATGCCAATAGCTTAGAGGCAACCGAAATAAGACTAATCCCGCGATGATTTGCATATGAAGTGCGAGCGTCTTTCTTGAAAATCGGAACAATAACTGATTGGCCTCAAGAGGAAGGCACTTTCACTTCATGCCAAATTTTTGCGAACAGCGCGGTCAGCTGGTTAATGATCACCACACCGCCGTACTTGAATAGTTGCGGACGAAGTCCGTCTAAGCCAGCAGCCTTGAAGCGCTTCAAGCGTCGAATCTCGGGGCAGAATTCCGCTTTGCTGGGTGGATTCAGTGGGACGTGCCAGGGTGAACAACAAGGTGTACTGCATGTACTGACGGATGGTGGGGGCCAGTTGAACTGCGAGTGAAAGTGCTCGGCCCCGAGGCCCATACGCCTCTGATGGTTGGTGATCGGAGACTCATCAACCTCACAAATGACCTCACTGACACCAGGCTTCCTGAGGCCAGTGGACCGAATGAGTTGGAAAAGCCTGCGAGTGTTGCCAGAGAGGGCAGCGGTCTCCATCTCTTAAGCACGCTCAGACCACTATGTCTCGCGATCCTTGCGTGAACTTTGCTTGAGCAGCCGGTTGGCAGAACGGCGCTGCTCGTTGCAATCTGCTTCCGCGGGGGTATCTTTGCGACGTTCGAACAGCTCCAGAGAACGAACAGAGATCCAATATTTCAAAGGGCGTCGAGTTAGGCCGCAGCATGATGGTCCGGAAATGGTCCTCGCCTTCTGTATGCACGTCCATTGTTGTTCCACTTCTTGCGGTGGATTGCAACTGAGTGCATATACCAGTGAAGACTGATAGCTCTTCTGGACAGAGGAATCAGTTAATCTGTTTACAAGAATCTTGCGGTGTTTCGTGTTTCGGGATCCTCCAAAACACAGATTTTCGCGCAGACCAGAGCATGATCTGAGTCAACGAAGGTGGACCAAAAGGACCTGCAGTCCAGTACACTGCCGCGCCATCTGAAGCTAATTGCAATGTGATCAACTTGAGACCACGGTTGTGTTGAAGAGGGGGGACGCCACGTTGCGGAACGCTTTTTCGTACGCCTGAAGTTAGTGCTTGAAAGAAACAGACGGTTGTCTTCGCACAATATGAGAAGTCTCTCTCAGTTATCAGAGCGGTTCTCATCAAGCGCGTGATGACCACCAAGGTGGCGTTTGTATGGTAACAGGCGGCCAACCCGTGCATTAAAATCCCCAGCAAGGATAACGACATCCGACTTTTTAGCATTAATCAAGAGCTGTTGTAGATCCCGGTAGACTTCGTCCTTGACCGAGTCGCCACTGCAGTCGGTTGGAGCGTACACGGAGATCACAAACAAGTTGCGTCTCTTTTCGCGGTGCCTGTTGATTCTACATGAACCCCGAAGCCGAACTGCACATAGTCGGCTGTTAATAGGGAACGAGTCCAGTAGTGCCGCCTCGGCCTTGCCACTTAGTGCTTTACCTACGCCAGCCAAACCCGCTGAGGCTACTTCTGGATCTCCAGAAAGGAGCAGGTGATATCCGACTTCGTGGTCAGTGGGGGATGTCAATGTAAGCACAGTGCTGAGATCTTGCAATCGGGTTTCTGAAAGGCAGCAGACATCAATGTCTAGGGAATCTAGGGTGCGCGCTAGAGCGGCTTGTTGTCCAAGCTGCATGAGTGCCCGAACATTGAAGCACGCCAGACGGAACGAGGATCTGGGACAAGGGAGAGCCATAGGTTGAACTTCTTGGTATGTTGCGCAACCGGAATCGCAGCCAGATTGTTAAACACATCGAAATTTAATAGTAAGGATTTCGGGAGTACTTTCATATTGGTCGGTTCCAAGTATATCCGAACGTGTGATGTGTGCTGCTATCATTTCATCCAACGACGATGCTCTCCGAACCTCTACTACTGGATGTTTCTCCCACATATTTAGTCGACCCAGCAAATATAACCGTATCTTTTCTGTTTCAGCTTCGTTATATACACCCACACTCCGTTGTCAAACCGATACCCTTTCTGGATTTCTCCGTCAACAATGGCTGTTTCTCTGAACGAGGAAGTTTTGGCTGCACTGAAGACCTTACGAAAATACAATTTCAAGGTGATGCTCGTGTTTTCATCGACGGTTGCCTTTTTCATAGGAAGCCGAGTTAGCTTTGAAACAAGAAGCCGGGTTGGTGGATAATAAATCTGCCGAAGAATTTCTTCGTTTTAAGGCGTAATGAACCAGCCTTGCTTCAGTCTCATATTTTGCTGTTTCAGTCAGGTAAAAGATGAACCGGAGACCTTTGCAGCAAAATATGACTCGTTTGTGAAATTCGTGGACAGTGTCACAGACGAACACAAAGTAGAACCACCAATTCATTTGGTTTTTAGAACCGATTTATCCCATAGCTAGAATTGTCCGGCTTACTTTATCCCGTATATGTTCAGTTATATCTCCGTCTCATCAGCGGCGGGCTCTACGACGAAGGTTTGTTTGTCGCCCAACATGATCCTTTAACCTACAGCCAAGAAGTTTCTGAACGCATTCCGCAAACATCAAGAGGACTTCTATCAAGCTGATATAGTGCTGTTAGCGAACATAAGCGATTATGACCAGCTGCTGTTGAACCCGCTGGTGGAATCATTCAAGGCATCCGAATTCGTTATCAGTATTGCTGCTTCCTCTTACACCATGCTGAAGCGATTCCTGCAGGATAATAGCCTCCATGTCATTCAGAGCATACTATGTGAGCAGTTATCTGTCCAAGGTAATCGGGTCCGTTCCATTCGCTCAGATTTTATCTCGCCAGTTATCGACGGTCCACCGCGTTCCAAACTTCAGCTAGACTGCCGCCGCGGTGCCTTGTTTGGTGAGGCTCCTCGAGAAGTGAACAAAGAACCTGTTTTGTACGGGCTTTTGAACGATCCCTCTTTAACATTGCCCTCTGGATTGCGCAACGATTCCATAGCTTCTGGTGGGGATGCATCAGTTGGACAGGACCAGCTGGAAGGTCAGTTTTTATCTTGCGGCATGCATTGTTTCTTGTGGTTAGATTTGTTCAAACCTTTGCGTCTGTCTTGTTCGATTATCCTAGCTAGGTTTATTATATATCTCCACCAAGGTGCAGTAGTTCGATTGCCCTGACTCAATTTTTCATGAACTGCTAACCATGGTCAATGAAAATTGGTTTAAGATTGGTTCATACGGAGTAGGCAAAATATTTGTATTGTTGAAACACAGCGACGAGTCTCAGAAGCCTGGTTCTACCTTCAAGAATTCCACAAAATTTGTGACCTCATCATGTCTGATAACGTTTCTAACTATTAGTGTGATTCATCCCAAAGATTTTATTCAGAAAGATGACATCCACCAGCTTGACTCGGTTTTTGATCATTTTCTTCATACTTCTTCACTTCCGTCGGTTCGCGACCCTCCGGCTTTGGACGACTAGATGTAACAGCCATCGTAGACAGTGCAACTTTAGTAGACACTCCCGAGATCTTGTTATCAGATGTCTACCGCCTGGCCGAAATTCTACTCTGTGTTCTGATCCATTCCGGGTGATGCTTCGCCGAGGTTCACAAATGATCGGTTTCTATGTGTTTCCACTACCCCTTGCTCATACGATAGCACAGAGTGGAGCACGGTGTTGTAGACCATGACTCGGACTGAAGAAGCCGACGTCGTGTTCTCTTCATAAGAGATTGAAATTGTAAACACTCGCACACAGGCATATCAGATGCAGGTAGCAGCATTATCTCTGATGATCTGATGTGGTGCAATTACTCAAGTGAAGAACTTGTGAACATAGACTTCCTATTCCACCTGGTCTGCAGAGGTCAACCTTCCGATCAACCCGATCAAGTCACAATTCATGTGGCTGGATAAGTGTGAGCACAGTCGAATCTACATGGTGGCCGGTCAACCGTTGCATCCCGTGCCTTTCGTGCGAGACCTCGGTATACTCTCACGCTACGACCTGAAGTCCATGGATAACATGAATAGGCTTTACCAGAACAGCCTTCATATGCTTTGGGCGCTCAGACGCAGCTTCAGCACTTGGTCCGAAGAGATTGCCACTCGCCTCTTCGTCTCAATTATGCGGCCAATGCTAGAGCCTGGCTCTCTCCCGTATTGTCCTATCACCCGGGGCGAAGTAGAAAAGATTGAGCGAGTGCAACCTGTAGCCACTAGACTGATTCCCAACTTACGTGGTGTGCCGTACGAAAACCGGTGTAAGAAACTAGGGCTGTACACCCTAGCTTATTGTCGACTGAGGGTTGACCTCATCATGACGCACCGGATATTACATCTGGGAGATTACCCCATGTTAAGGCCGCTGCTTCATCTGCGCACACCAAGCAGCACACGACGACACCGGTACAAGCTTGTCGTACCGGATTTGAAGCGGGTCGCTCACTAACTCTGTTTCGAACGCAAAGTGGTGAATGTATGGAACAACTTGCCGCAGCACGTAGTTGAGGCAAAGTCGGCGTCGAAATTTAAGAGATTCCTGGACAAACACTTTGCCGACATAAAATATATCGAGCGTACCACAACATAACGGGTTTTGGTCCCTAAGTGACATTAGATGCAGCTACACAGAGAAACCTCTACTTGCTGCTTCCAACTAGTAATCAGTAATCAGGTTTTTAATTGCCCCATTCAGTCTTACTTTTTTCTAGCTTGTCTGTCAAACAAAACAAGGCCGCTCTTGATAAGCATTAAACGGACATACCCTGTCTACGCTGCGATTGCATTCTTTATGTTTCATAGCGCCCAGATTACGTGCACAGAGAAAAATGACAGGAGTGCCGCACATAAGAAAGCACTAAACAGAATAATAGATACTGTACACTGAAAATGGAGAGTTAGTAGACATGCGTCTGTGTTGCTCCATCTTAATCAGTTTGGGCACATGCTCGAATTCACGTCACTGAAGTCTGAGCGTCTGATGCTATTGCAGCTGCGTTTCGTGCTATTGGAGTGCGATGCGCTCCCTGTTTCTGAAATTCGCAAAGTAACTGTCCAGGAACTGCTTGAATTCCGACACCGATTTCGACTCAACAATTTTCGCAGGTAAACTGTTCCAATATTTCCCCAATCGGCGCTCCGAGCATGGTAAGTGAAGTATCCGCTTTAAGTCCCTTACCACTAGCTTTTAGCGCTGCCCGCGAGTGCTCTTGTCTCGCGCACGTGGAGCGCAGTGGCCTCAGCATTGGGAGATGACGCAGATGTAATATCCGATGCGTCATAATGAGATCAACTAAAAACCGACGTTACGACAGGGTATACAGCCCTAGTCATCTGCATCAGTCTTCCTGCGACATACTCCGTAAACTGGGAAGGAACCTGGTAACCACAAGTTGAACACGTTCCACTCTTTGCACCTCGCCACGGGTGATCGGACAATAGACGGATGATCCTTACTCGAGCCTCGGTCTTATCATGAAAGAGAAGAGGCGCGTAGAAATCTCCTCAGACCAAATGCAGAAGCTGCGTTTAAACACCGGAAACATGCGCCGTCCTTTTCCATATAGCTTGTTCATGTTGTTTACGGACTTCGAATCGCAGCGTGAGAATACTCCGAGCTCCTTCACGGAAGATGTGTGATGTAGCGGCTGACCGGCCAGCGTGTAGGTACGCCCATCAACACGCTTCCCCAGGCTCATATCTAACGATTTGACTGGGTTGACTGGCAGATCGATATCTGTAGACCAACTGAATAGGAGGTCGAGGTCATGGGGAAAGACGTCACAGTCGTCAGGAAAATCAGTAACCCACTAAATCTTCTGATCGTCTGCAACCAATGTACAGGGCGACCGAAGAAGCTTAGGTACTTCTTTGATGTAGATCAAGAATAAGATGGGCCCCAAAAGTGTACCAGTGGTGGAGGGATACCAGGCTGTTAGATGATCATCCACTTGTTAGTGAAACATCATTTGCATAGAGCACTAAATTTACCTTCACGACTTTGGGCGGAATGGGCTGGGACCATGGGAATCTCTTATAAAGTGGGAACTTCTGAAGCCATCAGTCGGGTACGTAACAACGATAAAGGTGGTTTCCCAAGGAGGTCAAACACCCCTTTCAACACTGGTACATTTGAAAAATTCACTTTAAAAATTAGGGCGACTAATAGCGTCTATAGCTTATGTCGCAAAGACGGCGTACACATCTACATAGGCTAAACAGCAAGAGAGCTACGCACAAAAGTTGTCGAACACAATAGGAAAGTTTCCCATTCGCCGAAAAACGAGCCTGACTACTAGGCCTTATTGAAAGATAGAGGTGGGACGCGCGCTAAACTTGGGACACGAGATCTACTGGGATAATGGAAAGACCATTCGGAGAGGAGTTCGAGCGAAAAGCCAAAGATTAATCGCTAAAGCCGTGAAAATCACCAAGACTAATCACTGCGGGAACAGAATAGACAAGGTAGAGCGCTATCAGGCGTGGTAAAATAAATGAATAGTTGAATAGTGCATCGAGACACACCATGTCAGGTATGGTCAAAATTTTTGCAGCATTAATGTTTCACAATAGGTACCTGGCATTGCATGCACTAGGTAGTGTGTGCAGAACGGGAAATTTCTGCAGAAGAACATCCTTCTTGATGTGAAGGAAGTCTGAGGTCATGTATATGGAATTTAGTGATTAGCAGTAAAGTTGTAGGAGTTGATGGCGGAACGTGCGAATAAGGAATTATCTTGACTTGGAGTATGCTGACAATATTCCTCTCATCTGTGACAGCACGCATTGCAAAAACCAGACCTGCCTTCCTGAATGTGCGGCATCTTTGGCGACAGAAGCGAGTTTCCCTCCGTCTGAAAGGCCGTGTATACAAGGCCACAGTGAGGGCCGTCCTGCTCTTTGGTAGTGAAACTTGCCCCCTTCGATCTGAACATCTGAGGCGTCTTCAAGTCTTTGATCATCGTTGTCTGCAAGCATTCTGGTGTCGGATAGCACCAGCGTATCCGCAACGATGCTGTGCCTAGGCGAGTACTAGGTTGTGATAATGATGCTAGTTCCTTAGAACAGCAGATAGCACTGAATAAGTTGCGTTGGCTTGGGCACGTGCTACGTGTGCCTGGTCACCGCTTACCTAGGAGGGCCTTGTTTAGTCTGCCAGGTGTAGGGTGGCGCAAAGCTCGAGGTGGACAGAAGTTGACTTGGCAACGGGAAATGAAGTCACTGACGACCAAACTGGGTGCCGTTGGTCCGTCTCGCCTTCCAGGCTGGAGTCTACGTGACTTGCCTTGTGCTTGGCTCGAGACTTTACAGGACATGGCTCGCAACCGACACCAGTGGCGCGTCTGCTGCCTTCTCCTCATCGGACTGTCTGTTTAAAGTGTGTTTGGTGCTGAGTTATCTGCGGGGTTAATGGCTGCTTATGACGCGGGTCAGTGAAAGCCGCAAGGAAGCTGTCTCGCTGATGTCGCCTTATTTTTGCACGATAGCCAGCTTTCTGTGAGGGTATGTTGTCTACGCAAGGTGTAGGCGCCTTGGTCCTGAATATTTGCTTAGGGCAATAAGGTTTTCTGGTAAGTCCCCCTTCTCTCCCTCTTATTATTCTTTATTCCTTAGGTCATCATGGTTGTATTGCAGCGAAGCATCAGTTCAAATAGCTCATGTACTGCTGTTATTGATTATGTTAAGGATGACATCTGTGATAACTCACAAACGTGCCAAGATGCATTAGACAGATTAGTACCAGTTGTCAGTCATTTCGAGCTTTGCATCGCACCCTCGAAGAACAAGGCTTTCGTCCAAGCTTGACCTGGACCACCTCCTTCGCTGACCCTTGTTGGGGATCAGCTAGAATTCGTACAAAAATTCAACTACCTGGGAAGTTGTATCAGCGCCCGTGGGATTGAAGATGAGATCACGAACGGTATAGCAAAAGCTCGAGGCGCTTTTGCTAACCTTCGCCACTTATACCGCCAGCGCAACATCACTCTCGCCCTGAAGGGTATAGTGTGCAATGCATCGGTACGTTCGACTCTTTTGTAAAATTGTGCAATCTGGCTCCTTACGTCAAGGGACATAAAGAAGCTAGTTACGTTAGCCCACCGGTGCCTTCGCACTTTGGTTCACATCTGGTGGGAACACTGCGTGAGCAACGAGCGTGCTCGACACCTTGTTTATGGCACAAGAAAACGAAATGAACCGCTCAGCACCGTTATTTCACACACCAGACTCCGATGGCTCGGCCACGTGTTACACATGCCAGCCCATCGACTCCCGCGACGTGCGTTGTTTGAGCGCCCTAGGTGTGGATGGAATAACAAGAGGGGTGGCCCAACCATGACTTGTTCGAGAGGAATTAAAGCCCTCACTTCGAAGCTGGCCTCGGTTGGGTCGTCTCGACTCCCTGGTTGAGGTCCGAAAGACGATGAACACGTTTGGTCGGATACGCTTGCTGACCTAGCTAGGAGCCGACCTCAATGGCGTTCGTGTTGTGAATTTCTTTTTCCCACTTCATCCCTCCTAGCGGCCCCCCTCTAACCACGGTCTCACTTAGCCTAATATAATTTTGCATAATAAATTATTTTGCTGCATAATAGCCGGCTGGTAGCTTTCCGGAATGATACCTATCCATTATTGGTAGCCGAGTTGGCGTGCATCTGTCGTATATTTTGCTTTTTCTTCTTATGTATTGCGGCGCGATAGCTGAGGTCTTTTACACTTCTAGTTTACGTGTAGTATGAGTGAATGAATTATGTATGTAGTGTACGTAACAAAAATAATGAAATGTGGCTCTAGTCAGCTTGACTATGTAAAGTTGTGGTTGCTTTGACCCAGCCAGTCTGTATAACCTCGTCGGATGGACTCATGTTGGAGCGCGAAGCCCAAACTATCATCACTGGAATCAGCGACAATCCTAACTTTAGTGCTTAGCATGCGAATGACTTGCGACACATGAATCATGCTCAATGCATCACAGAAATATCCTTCCGACCCTTTGAAACTGTAACCACAATTATCCGCTGACTCAGGTTATTACTCGCAATCACCATCCTAAGTTGTTATAAAATCCAAACGAATTGTGTACTAATTCACCCGGCCTGAAAAATCTCGTGTATCGAGGGCGGAACGTAGCCTTAACAAAACTCATTTATGTTTTAAAGTCGTCTGAAATTATCCCCCTTAGTTATATAGAGAGCCCAGTACTCTTCTGGACACTTCATCGTTGCAGCCACGCTCGTTCTGCTTGCCGACGGAAATTATGCACCGTCAACGATGGCCAAACACCTGAGTTCTGCGATCTCCAAGTCGAGAAGATCGATGCTGGTCTATATGTACTATCTTTGCGAGAACCTCACGTACAGGTCGGTGATTGAACCGCAGTCATTTGCATGCTGCAACTTTTCTTTGAACCCATTGCTCTCGAATACTATTCGTGGATAGCATTCCTGGGAGTTATTTACTAGTACGCATCGTTGCATCCCTTCTTATTGACCGTGAGTCATGTATTGAGCCGCATCAATGAGCTCGAGAGCCCTATCTGGCATGGTATGTTGAAGGCACCTTAAGTCTGTTCTCTTTTTGCGTTATGTCATCACATTTGTTTTCATGTCATGGTCATGCACTATTTCTCTACTCGATTTGCTTCGCCTCGGTGATCGAATCGCAGTCTACTCCGAAGTGCGAATTGCAACTACGGATGGTGAAACTATGGTTTTGACTAGCTCTGCTTCCGCCTGAATTCATCTCAACTTGCCACTTGTATCCTCCACCCACCCCCTGTTGTTATTAGATGGCGATTCTGAACAAGCGCACGCAAAGAAAAAGAAGAGACGAGACCTTCTTGGGTCCAGCCACAGTGGCGGTGTCGGCTCTGGGAAGGAAGAGCACAAAACGGACTCGAATTCCCCCGCTATGAATCGTATTCCACTGCCAAAGGTACACTCTTGTCTAAACACAAGCGTCTGGAGTGCGTCTCTTTGCATGTTCGATGCGCAATTGACTTTATCTCTCTGGGCGATTATCAACGTTTGCCTTGAAATCTTTCTTAAAGAATTCAATTCAGTGTGCTTACTATTTGTGGCTTCCGTAGACTTTGGTCATTTCTCCAGATGACGGGAAGTCGGTACATTGGTTATCGATGGTGCGCACTGTACTGTTGCCATTGTTAATGTCTGAACTAAAGACATGGATTCTCGTATTTGATCATTGGTTTCTTCGAAACATGTTACTTATCTCAGGTGTGCCAGTTGAAATTTCGTAACAGATCATCCACTAATTGCGCACACTGGAGTGCAAATCTATGGTGCGCTTCTTTCATGACTTAGTATTAGCTGCCTCCATGTTGTGTTTCCGTTGACAGCGCAAGTAAGCGATGCAGCGTTTTCTAATTCCGGACCACCCACTTCCCAAACCGAAAGAGTTTAGCAACACATTCATTCGGATCCACAAGATACATCATTATTCACAGGCGAAATAACTCTGATTATAGAACTCAACAGGTGTAATCTGGAGAAAGTTTCTTTACTACCGGGAACTACCGCAGCCCGGTAAACGTTCTCGTCGACTGCCTCCAAGCCTACACTGGCATCATTGGTTGACTCGAGTATAAGCACTCACATTGATCGGCTCTTAACCAAAATGGGCTTCAAACTGGGGCGGTCCGGGCGTCTAATAAGGCTACTGGCTTGAAAGGCTTCTATGAGTGTGATCCCCTAACATGGACCTTGTATTTTAAATAAATAAATCTGGTATGTCTCGACGATGCGAGAGACCATTTCCACATAGAGAAAGAGCAAGATATTGACAGATTTTTTCATTTAGTCCCCTCTACATATTAGATAGGAATAAGCACTATGTTATCTCCATGTCAGTTTCACACATGCACGTTGTTCAGGGTGAAGTGCAGAAGATTGTGCTGGGGTCATATCTTCCGTTAGCATATATCCCGTCGATTTGAACCAGCGCAGTCTGACCAGAAGGCAGAAATGGGGCTTTGTTAATGGGCCACTCCCACTGATGCGCAATCCAACTTCCTCGATCGATTAAAACACGTTTAGTATTCACAATTCTTAGTGGATTCAGGGGGAAAATAAAATAAACAATAGTATCAAGGTATGTATGAAACGGATATACAATGCTTATCAGTAAAGATGAATAAGGCGTAAATATCTGTTTTGAGACATCTAATAATGCAGACTCATGCCGAAAGCCTTACCCTGTGAGAAAAATACTTCAGAATGAAACGAAGATTCTAATGGCAACGGGCTTAGGCGCTAACTACAGTGAGAGCGGAAGGTGCCTCGTTTGGTAGATGACAACATTTCAGCGCGACACAGCTATAATAGGAAAAGCGACCTAGATGTTGGCAACACAATTTTTTAAATTGTCAAACGAAGTCTAAAAAGTGTGGTATAGCACAATAATATTTGTGGTCATGAGTTGTAGTGGAAAGCTTTATGGCCGCTATACTCCGGATTATTACAGCATACAATAAGGTTTGTGTGCTTCACCAGCCATTACGTATGTGTTTTTTGAACGATGTTAACTTTTATTACGTCATGGTAAAGTACGAATAATAATAATAATAATAATAATAATAATAATAACAATATAAGCGTAGAAGAGCAGGTCTTTGAAAAAGATAAGAGCCTCGTGTCCACTCATCACTGAGTCTGAGATTTAACAGGCTCATGGTAGAAAATGGAGCGAGGTAAAAGAGATTTGCATGGCGATGGCCAGGATAGAGTGTAGTGACGGGTGAAATTCCTGAAAATCCGAGTATCTGAGATGACAGGGGCCACTTTGATATATGGTTAACTTTCAGGCCAGGTTACATGAATATGAAATATTGAAGAGCAAGGTGATAATAATGTACTGAAAAAGGATCTGGCTTCGCACTTTACCAATCTGCTGGGGTTGACATTAGCAGATGGTGAGCGTTCAGGTCAGATAAAAGTTGAGAGATGTTGAGGGCCAACTTGAGGTGAAATGACAAAAACCTGGGTCACATTTGTTGTTTCATTAGAGAAATAGTTAACCGACTATCTGAAATATTCTGATATGGAGTATGGAGGTGAACTTTTTTCAAACCAAGACAAGGCAAAAAAGGAAATCAGATGATCAGTAACCAATGCAGGCCGGTTAAGTGAGCCAGTGAAAATAATTGAACCGAGACCTTCTAACGCTAGGCAACCCGGTAGCCCAAGTGGGTCAAATAAAACATTGCACATAGAAAAAAGAAAAAAGCCAGATAATCAGGGTCATGATGTACTTGTTTGGAGAAATTGAAAGAGCTTGAGTAGCGAACTCCGAGGTCACGAATCGTTGTGCAGCAGGTAATTGATTTGTCAGCTAACATCAGTATGTCATTAGTAAGTTTGTATCCGTAGAATATAGCTTTACATTTGCCAGCAGAGAATATCATTTTCCACTTTAGACACCACTGCTGTAGAGCGAAGAGCTCCATCTGTATTGTTTGAGCGCCGTTTGGTTCACTTATGCTATTAAAAGTGAACAGAAAGCGAAAAGAAAGGGTGTCATTTCGAAAGATTCGGAAAATGTCATTTATGTATAGTATGAATAGCAGTAGGCCTAAAACCCTTCCTGTGTGATGCCGCTGGTTACTGCTATAGGTGAAGATACGCAGTTTCCCACTCTGACATATTGGGTGACAGTCATGCTAGTAATGGGTTAGCAAACGCATAAGAGGTAAACTTTGTTAGATGTTCAGCATGAGGTACGCGGTCGGATGCTTTTTCCAGCTCTAAGAAAAGAATAACCAACGGCTGCCCGGAGTCAGCCGACTTAGTTATGTAGTCCAGAAATTCAACTTACCAAGTTTGACATGAACGGCCACAGAGGAATCCATGTTGCGATTTGTCGATCAGATTTTGTGAATTAAGGAACTCCATGACTCTGATTACTCTTTCCATAATACAAGTCGATATGGAAGTATGGCTAATAAAGCGGTAATTTGTTAGCTCGTGATGGGATCCCATTTTGTGTCGGGGTAGAACGGTGGCCCGCTTCCACCTAGCAGGGTATACATCAGTCTTAATTGACAAGGTGAATATGTTTATCAGAAACAGGGGAATATCGGGCTCGGCGAGTTTAACCAATGTTGGTGATATGCTGTCAGGTCCAGGCTGAAAAGACTGCTTTAGGACGACTAATGCTAATGATATACAGTTTGAACTTAACTGTATCTATTGTTTCACTGGTGAGTAGAGGCAATCTTTCATGTGCAGCTCATGCGCCTGTATTAAACGAGGAGGAGAAATGTTTATCATATAACTCACAGAGCTCATCGGGGTCGGTTGTGAGACTGCCGTCTGAAGAGGCAATGGTTATAGATTGTCGACGTTGTGCTTCGTATCTGACACTTACTAAGCGATGTAACATGCGTTTGCAGTTGGGAGCTGCTAGCGCTTGTGTCTTTTGTGACGTAAGCTTTCTTTATTATCGGTCTTGCAAGTCCTTGCGAATTTTATCAGTTTTTATGATCGCACATATATTATTCATTTTTTTCAACCTAAACCGCAAGCTTTTAGACACACCGTAACAGCTTTAGGAATGGGATTTTGAGGCCGGGGTAGTGGATGCTTTCTACATAGCATTGGTGCAAGCAGGTCAGTTCAGAGGTTGGTAGAACTCATCAGCGGCGATATCTGGACAGTCTATATGGAAGAAGCTATCTCAGTCAAGGGATCTAATAGTTAGACGGAAGCTGTTCCAGTCCAATTCGCGATTTGGTCGAAATTGGTGGGCATAGTGAGGGTACCTTACCGTGATTTGGGCAACCTGGAAGGTTAGTTAGGTAATCTTATGATCGCTCCCAGGGAGATTACTAACTCTGTGTTCATACACTGGATATGCCAAACGTGAAATATAACTAGAATGTGACTGCCTCTAGTAGGAGAGCATACTTACTGTGTCCATCCACGAGTGACTGTTACTGAAAGGAAATTCCGGTACTTAGCGGATGCTGTTCGTTCCTGCCACGAAACATCGGACATGTTGAGGTCGCCACCCATACTTTTTTGGAAGATCGGTATCTCAGATGTCCATTTGAACAATTCAATCAAATGGTTGCATTGGGTCTGGATAGCTCCGGGCGGCAAATAAATGCAACCAACAAGAAAACGACAGGATTTAAACCTGTATCCAGATCGAGTCCCTGAAGCTGCCTGACGAAGGAGCTTCCAATCTACTCGCCTCTAAAGCATCATCAATGTACACAATGCAACCGCCACCTCGACCAGTAAGACGGCACCCGGCAAAAGTCATGAAGCCAGGAACAAGTATCTCTGTGTACTGCGAACCAAATCATGTTTATGTTACAAACACACTATGTGAATGAGAAGATGCTAAGGGTCGTAGCTGATGCATTTTGTTCGCCAGCGATCGAGCATTTGCTAGAAGAAGGTTAACTACATCAGTTTGGGCTAGAAATCTTGCTGCCTCTAACATCAGCCTGCTGGGGATAGAATTAGCTAATAATGCATTTTCTGAAGACTTTTGAGAGGCAAGATCACGCTGATTTTGGCTGTATTCATCGTTGCCTGTATCCAAGTACCTATGGGACTTTGAGCCACTCTGTGTGTTGCGATTTACAGAGACCGTGGAGCAGGCCACGGATGATGAAGCATAGTCCGTTGATGCGTGGCGGGAATGGGAACTGGGCTTAGTCTACATGAGTGAGGAGGTTTGTGGCAGTGTACAGGGCTTGAAGAGCCATGTGGTACATTCTGCATCCCCAATAACTGGTTGATATACGTCAGGAGGAGGAGAGGTAGGAAGGACGCCTGGTGAGGCGGCGGGCTCCCAAGTAAGGTGAGTGCATGTCAGTTGCATGTTTGTAGTGGTTCTCCAAGGGTAGAAACATATTGCGATGGTCGACTACATGACTGAGTGGATACTCAAAATGTAGTACAGTT